CATTTCAAGGAGAGAGAAGCTTCTGATTTTTATAAAACAAAAGTGTGGCATTTTCCTTACAGGATAGCCTGTTAGGGTTATTAGGATACTTATCCATATCACTGTGGGTATAGGTTTATGTGTGGGGAACACTGATGGAGGGTAAACGAAGTCCAGGGTGTTTTAAGGACTGTGAGAAGGAAGTTCCCTCAGGTCCCTGTGCTGCTCTCAAGGATCTTGCACCTTGCATGAGGAGATGCTGTTTCCTCCAGGGTACACAAGCCATGGGCTGGGAAGGACAGAGTGTGGCTCAGTCTACACTGAGATTGAAGGACACAGGAGGACAAGTGCAGAGCTAGTGTGTCAGCATCAGCAAGGGGAAGGGTAGGGTTAGCTGCAGCAATCAGAGGGGTGGGAAGCCCTGAGGGTCTCCAGCCTAGCAGAGGGGACCAGAGAGGGGAAGGAAGGGGGTGCTAGACAGGAGGGCTTAGAAGGGCTAGAACCCCAGAAAAAGGCTCTCATTTCACTGGAAGTGCCCACGTGCTCTGGGTTTTATTTTAGCTTTTGACCTTGTAGTCTTGGAGGCCAAAGGAGGTTTCCTGCCACGTGCTGGGGTTGGAAGCTGAAGAGTGGGAAACAGGGAAACAGCTCAATACCTGCTGGCCTCACCACTTCACTTTACTTACCAGATAACCTATTTTTGGTCAAGTTAGGTGTCCCTCAGATTCCCAAACTAGATCATGGGGGAAAACGTTTGCTGCACGCAATTCCCAAGGAAAGGTTCGTATTTAAATGGTATATTAATGAACATGACTTTAGATTAGAAATTAAGTTTTCTTTCAGTAGTCAACTTTTTAATGTTAAATTATTAATTTTAGCAAAACAGAAGGCAAGTGACTGGGTGGTTCAGTTGGTTGGAGCATCATCCCATACACCAAAAGGTTGCGGGTTCTATTCCTGGTCAGGGCACATACTTAGGTTGTGAGTTCCATTCCCAGTCGGGGCCCATGCGGGAGGCAACTGGTCGATGTTTCTCTTTCACACCTATGTTTCTCTCTCTCTCTTTCTTCCCCTGCCTCTCTCTCTCTAATACTCAATAAAAACATATCCTTGGGTGTGGATTAAAGAAAAAGGTGGCAAGTGGCTGTCAAAATTGTTTTCTGACCAATAAGTAGATTTTACTGAGTAAAGCTTTTAACACATATTATGGGTTGAATTATCTTTGAAGTACTGCTGTTTTTTTCTGATGCAGCTCCAGGATAACAGGCTTGGAAAGCAGAAGTAGGATTTTCATGCCAGGCCCTGACTGGTAGTTAATGATTTCTGTGCCTCACATAGGATCTGTGTCTAAAAATGGTGGTTTATTCATCTGCTCATTAGCAAATGCTCCTTATACATCTGAGTCCTTCCTGAATGTAGGAACTGATGAACCTGGGAGTTAAAAAGGTTTGTGGGCCCCATGTTGTATCACCAGTTGCCCCTGGTGGGTGGACTGGTGGGTGATGATATGGTCCCTCAGAGGTGCCCACCACAAGGAGCTCTGCAGCTGTTTCTGCTGACCCTGCCCATGTTGCACTTTGTCCTTTGCAGCTATCAAGGTTAATAGTTACAGGGAACTAACTGGATGGTCTGTCTCTCCTTTACCCAGAGGTTATCATTTCCTTTCTGTCTTTTAACCAAATTGGGACTTCTATTCGATACCTCACAGTTTTGTCTCCTGTTTTCACGTCACTTTTTAAAATATATGTGTGTGTATATATATATATATATATATATATATATATATA